CTGATCTACAGCTGCCGATAACAACCATAAAGGCCAACACTAAAATGCACGTGTTCTAAAACTTGCTGATTATAATAAGGATTCAAATCTGAAAAACAAAGTACCTGATTGTATTTGTAGAGTCCCAGAATATGGGCCAATAAAATGGAGTGGGTGGAAATTGCTGGTCCAATAATGGCTGCTAGAGGAATGTCAGGGAGACACCTGTAGTTGGGAATGGCCATTCCGGTCCCACTCAGGACTTGTAAAGAGCTTCCCAGGTCCAGATGGAGAGTGTCGCAGGAATCATAAGCTTGGAAGCCAAGTGTCACATTGGGAAGAATACTGGAGTGCTGGTTGATCTCTTCCATGGCAAACGTCATGGCTTGGAACTGCTGGTAGCTCTCAAAGTGGAATCTAATGTATTAACACAATAAGAGAAGTGTCACTTTAAAAAAAAAGAACTCTCAAAAGCTCTATTTGTATGCACAAGTAAAATAGTTTGTTTAAGAAGAAATCGTAGCCATCTTGGAACTCATTTATTTATGGCATTGTGACATATTGTTTTTAAAGATTCAATAAACTGAGTTTAAAGAAGAACCCTGTGTTCACTAAAATATCTACAGTTTCTAAGGGCAGATCTGTTTATAAGAAACCTGTCATAAGACAAAGGTGCCAGTGTTGGATGCCAATGCTGGCCTCTTTCTGAAAAAGTTTCACTGGCGTTCATGCTATTGCTTTGGATTCAATAGTTTCTGAGTTACTGACCTGGCACTAGTATACAGAAACGAATTCTGACTTTTCAGAGCTGGCTTGTTCTTGTTTGGTGACTCAAAAGTATTGAAGCCTGAAATGACCTGGCAACTTGAATTTCCAAAAATGGCCATATATGATATCCCCCATAGCACCCCTAAAGAGTTTTATTTCAGATGCAATCTTTAAACTATTTAGAACCCTTGTGTACCAAGTTCTTTTTAAGGGTCATCAGTGTACCAATCTTGTCACTGTTGGCAACTTGCCATGAGCAAGATTGCTAAATATAACAAGGGCTCAACCCTTCCATGGTGCTCCTTCACTAGGTGAAATGTTGCACAATCTCCCTGGCCAGTAAGGAAACAGAGTGGGAGCAGTGGTGGAGCGACGCCTCACTGGTCCAGTCAGCAAAAGAGTGGAACCTTAGAAACAGAGTGTTTTTTTGCACTATTAGAGATCCTGTGGCTTGCAATGAGCTTCCAGGGACAGGATCGCTACTGTGATATTATGTTAGAATTACTTTTGTAGGGATGTATCCCTAACACCTCCTGGATTAGTGCAGTGTATGTATGCAAGCCTTTTCTTTTAACTACTCCTCAGTTGGGGGTTGCTGTTTTAGAGGTTGGATTATTGCCCAGGCATGGGGGCTTAGGCCCTCAGGGCCTATCATGTGCTCTGGAACATGTTTAAAAACCATAGAAGGACCTAACCCATGTTGACCTGGATACTACCATGGATTTACTGAGGACACTGGAGCCACACTTGAACCTCCGCTGGTACAAACTGCAATCAATACCTGGAACAGAGAAGACACAGGAACGTCTGTTGTAATGGAGCTACTTCAGCCTGTTGTAATGGAGCTACTTCAGCCTGCTGTGAGAGTGGATGAAGATGAGATCCATACAGGGATTGATAGATAAAGAATGCAAGTTGCTATTGTTGGATATTCCAGTCCTCCCTTCCCCCAGTTCTGCTATTCTAAATAAATCTTTTAAAAGGCATCCATGGACTTTGATCTGTTCATCACTGAAAGAGAATCTGGAACTGTGAGTTACATGCCAGGGACAGGGTTATCTCAGTTGGGAGTCCCACTTGCTATGCACAAGGCCCAATTAGGTAGAGGCACTGTAAATATAAGTTATGTTAGAATCCCATGCTCCCACTCTGTGTAGGCTCAGTCTTCAGTTACCAACAGGTGCATGCTATTTTAGTAATGTGCAGATAGAACCATCTAAAGTGGGTCTAAAGATCTCATTACACTTTAAAAAATGTAATCTAAATATTTGCAAATAAAGTTCCACTTACACAGAGCAAGTAATCCTGGGTGGCCTCTCAGTGAAGGAGCTGATTTGGACAGAAGCATCAAGGTGAAGGGGTAGTACAACCCCTATCAATATATCTCCTGCCTGTTTGACCTCCTGAAGCTCCGAGATGTCCAGTCTGCACTGATGTCCATGGCAGTGGTGGAGTAGAAGGAGATGAGAGAGAAGGATGTGACATGTTACAGTGTAGATTTGGAGCAGCATTCTAAGATTATTCTGAGAAGACAATGTGCATACTTTCAGCTCTCGGTCGATATTGGCCTGTTGGTAAATTTCATCCCCTGTAATAAAATACACAGTTTAGAAGTAGACCCAACCCCAGATCTTTAAAGTGTAACTACACCTAAGGTTTGCTGCCAGCTCTTCACCCGTCTTATCTCACCTATGAGATATTGCCAACAATGCCACTCAAAGGCTTGTTAAAGTCTTCTCAGCCAGATCCACACATGCCCTTTGCACTCTCATTCATTCATATGGAGAATGAGGGATGTAGGTGAGAGAGCTGAACTGGTTAAACATTGAGATTTGTAGACTGGTCAGTAGAGGGAGATTTCAGTAGCTAAGGGCAATTATCTTATCTCTTTCTCTTAAGAATCATTGAGATAGGATATTGGCCATACAAAGGAGTGCATTGCTTTTAGTGAATCAGCTCATAGACTTGCACTGTCAGAATGAGCAGTAAAGCACAACCACTGTGTAGCACTCCTTATATCAAAGTGATTTTAACAGTTTATTTAAAAAAATACAAAACAACAAAAACAATAAAATAGGTCCCAATGAGGCCCAGCAGGACTGAAACATGTAAGTGTGTGTTGCTTTTATGGACTTTACAGTATGAAATAAAGATACATTTGGAGGAGATTTCTTGTGTGATGTCATCCTGCTGTAAACACAGCAGTATTTTTTTTAGGGTGGTTTTTAGAATTGCCGTGTCGTTTGTGGGTTTTTATTTTTATGATGACTGGGTCTGTTTTTAAGCTTGGGGTACTCAAAGTGGAGCATTCACTTGTTACTGACCATCTGCTCTTGGAGCTGCTATCAACAGCATGACACTGCATCATTTATAAGGAAAAAAATAACTGCAAGAACAGTGTGCACCTAAACCACCTTGCATTATATCACTCATATTTTCTGCACCTCCTTATCCCCATAGAGAAAATAAAAGTCAGGCATACACCAGTTAGGCCTTTTTGCCACGATTAAAACTGTCCTATTGCTTGCCAGTTTCACAGTACTGTATTATCTGCAGTCTCTTAATTCTTGTAGTAAAACACCTTCCCGTATCCTTTGTCTCAAGTAAATGTAGGCCTAGCCTTGCTCATTAACATTGTCCTGCTGTGCTCTCTTATTAATACTGTAGTAAAAAACCAGCTTGAACTCTTTGTTTCTAGTAAACTTAGGTCTAACCTTGCTCTTTAACACTGTGATCTCCTAATATTGTAGTAAAACACCTGCTGTCTCTAGTAAATTTAGGTCTAGCCTTGCTCAATAACATTGTCCTGCTGTGTATCTTATTAATAATGTAATAAAACACCTCCCTTCACTCTTTCTCTAGTACATTTTAGCCAATTCTTCCTCATTCCAAATGTCCTGCTGCTGTCCAGTTTTACACTGCTGAATCATCTCTGGTTTCTTAATTCTTAACTAGAGCTTGACAATCATTGAGCAGCAGCAGGTCAGTTTGGCTGCAGTGAAAACAAGGACAGCCCAGCAAGCTACCGGCCATTTTCTATCTGCCGGTCAAAGTGGCCCTATTACCGTTTAAAAAAATAAAAATATGTGTTGTTGCTAAAGCTACCGGAAAAAATAAAACTGAAATTAATCAGATTGTGGTGCTGCTGTATGTAAGCCAAGCAAATTGTAACAGTAAAATATATTCCACAGCCAAATGTGTGCTGCCAGTGTACTCTGCCACTGAGACTGTTCATGAAAATATTACTGTTTTATAACATCAAATACAGCTTTAAGGCATAGTCCAAGGTCACCCTCGAAGCTGCATGCAAAGACCATCTTTCCTGCTGTATGGCATTTTTTTCTTCATTGGTACATGTCCCTTGTGACAGTGTCCAGCTTCCCATTCATTTTTTGGACAGTAGTTTACCAATTAGCCATAATAATAACCTGAAATTAATAATAACCTTCACTCCGATATACAGTAGACTTTAATAGAATTTACTGCTAAGTTCGGGTTCACTGAATTTCAAACAGGACTTCCAGAATCCTCAGTAAATGGAACCCAGGCAGATGAATCCATCCAATGGTCTCTGGACTGGAGCACGGGGATACATTTTTGAATAATAACCTTTACAAAATGAAGCGGTTGCTGTATATTGTGACATGTCAAGAAGATACTCATGTAGAGTTATCTGAAGGTCCATTTTAATCAACAGACCAACACAAATGTTTGTATAAGAAGGGTCCTATTTAGTTTTTGCTCCAAACCTGCTTCCCAGTGCACATGGACAATGTAGAAATCTAACTGCATAGAAGTATAATCCGTATAATATAAACAACAGGGATTTCATTGCAGATGTGTGCAAGTTGGCTCGTGAGCACAAGCAAGTCATGTGTGATAGTCCTTCATACTTACTGTTATAGAATGCCGTCCCCCACCTCCTCACAATTTGTTTACTTCCCCTTTTTATATCAAGATCAATCTGTAGCCCGTGAATTGAGTTAACCCCTTCAGAGTCAGTTTCATGTCAATGCAAGTCATTTCAAGCCACGAAATGTCAGGTATGCTCTACCGTGCAATTAAATGGTTAGAAAAATTCTCTGAAGAGAAGGACGTAGAGATGCTTTTCTCCCTGGGAACCGAATTAAGTCAATTAACCTGCTATGGGAATTACTACCGCTGTAAAAAAAACAACTTGCGTTCAAGAGATAATTATTATTTTCAACAGGCAAAATGAATTATTATTAAATTCCAAAGCAAACCAAAGAACGTACTGTATATGAATACGTGTGTAAAGTCTGGGCTGGAGTCCCCCTGTTCAAACATTGGCATTCATCCTCTCCAGGCATGACCTGAAAATGTTATAAGGGCTTGTGTACATGGGCTTTTAAAGGCACATCAAACACAGGCCAGCAGATTCCCATTTACCCCAATGGTACACCGTGGATGAATGAGACTAAATTTGACCTACTTTGCATTGCGCTGCATTGTGTTGCATTTCTCTGAACCCAGCAGGTTCTATTAGAGATGTGTGTACATTGTAGGCAAAGCAGGTCAACAGCATCACTTTGCAGTCAAATGCATATATTTGTAAGGCCTGTTAGGGTTAGGCAGGGCCTCTTAAAGGCAGGGATGGGTGTGTGCTGGATACTATCACTGATTATTACCAGGGCACGAGTTCACTAAGAGAGGGAGTCTTCTGTGAGCTAAAAAGGTTTAAGGTCTATTGTGTGCCCTAGGTGGAGAATTAGGTCCTCAGCTGCGTTAATGTAATAGACCCTCCATGCAGCTTCCCCTTTGGGGGAAAGCCATATGTTTCACCCTGAGTGGGGCATCACTAGGTTAAGTTACTGGATTAAGATTAAGATATCCCTGGGCAATATACTGGATTAAGATATCCCTGTTAGTGGGCAAGAAAGTTAAACTTGGCCAGCCATTAAAGATGGAATGAGGTTTGTCTATTGACTGTATTTATGTAACTTCCAATTCAGTATAAATAATTTATAGACAGAAGAGTCTCTTTATTGCTATGGAAATGATGGTAAGCGTATACAAAGGGAGCAGATAATTTGTTGCTGGCTTTGGTTGGGAAGTGGGTAGGGGCCTAGTAATGCATGGTCTGCCAGCTTGTTGGTGGAGAATAGGGTTCTCTGGGTGTACCATGCACCATGCGACCTGGAACCCAAGTAACTAGGCCTGGATCTAGGGAATACAGAGGGGCTCCTCCTGTGTTAGTCATGAGGTCATTCCCAACATGCCATGTTGGAACTAAACAAGATAAAACATTTTGGGAAAAAAACATTCAGATGATCAGAGTCTAACTAGAGGCCAAGAAGGTAAAGACCTCCAGCATTGGGGGATGCTGGGATATCCAGACACTGAGGAAAGCCAGCATATTAAAGGTAATAAACTGGACCTCGTTGTAGCTGTCAGGAAGTCTCCGAGCTAGGAAGCTCACAATGAAACCAATAAAGGCCAAGAGAAAGAGGTAACCGAACATAGTCAATTAGGCAACTGTTGAACCTTTATTATATTCAATAATAGTTATTCCAAGTTAAAATTATTAGGGCTGTGCAAATTAACGATTAATTTCTCGATTAATCGTTAATCTTTTTGATCGATTACAATTTTTTTGATCGATTATTTTTTTTTTGAAACTCTGCTCGAGCGCCAGCCAAGGCATTGGCCTATACACATACAGCACAGCAATGAAGTCATACAATGAACTAGGATCACACTAATCCAGCACGTTATTATTCTGAGTTGCCCCACGTGAGATTAATAACGTGCTGGATTAGTGTGATCCTAGTTAATTTTATTACTTCATTGCTGTGCTTTATGTGTATAGACCAATGTAGTTGGATCTGTATGTGCATTATAATTAATCGAAATTAATAAATCGATTAAAAAAAGTTTTGATTAATCGAACACAAAAATTTTAATCATTACCAGCCCTAAAAATGATGTGTTGTATTCTGGGAAGGGAGGAGCAATAACCCTAACCCTACCATACAAGTGTGTAGGTTAGGTTAATGACCATATAAGACACATTTGGGTTTGCCCATCTCCTGAGATTACTGTCTGGCATGGTGGCTATAAAAGCAAATATCATAAATTATGGTCTTGGCCAAAATTCAGGAGATGCAGAGAGCGAAAAACTATTCAAAGAGCAATCTGAAGTAGTCAACACCTCTCACACTGGGGATAACCAATGAAGATCAGAGGGCAGAGAAAGCACAATGAGAGGGAGACCAAGAGAAGGCAGCTGATATAATAATTGTTGGCTTTAACTAAAGTAAATATCACCAATTCAAGTGTTCCTCACACATTCAAGAAAAGCACAAGGATACAAACATTTTATTTCAATGTGAATGTTACCTATGTCTCTTTCACCTATGTGACTATAATTTTTAAAATGTATAAATTACAGTTGAGTCTTCTTAAAACAGAAGGAATCTACATGTCTCTGTTCTGTCACAAACCACAAAACTAAGGGGTTTATTCCTCTGGAGTGTCCATACACTAATTAAAGATGGCCAACAAGCTGCATTCAGTTTGAAATAAATGTCTGTATAATATTAAGCTGTATCTATACTATACACCAAT